CCTTTAAAACTCAATTTAAACAATTTCATATCAAATAATAAAAATGGTTCAGACAAAGAAGAGGCACTATCTGAAGGATTTCCTGAAGAATTATTTGGATCTGGTAGTAAATGTGATGACAGTAGTTATACTGGCACAGATAGTTCATCTGCATTAGATGAAATCGATCAAGTAATTTAAAAATGTTTATTTAAATAATGAGTTAATAAACTGTGAAAATGTAATTATAATTTTTTCAGGATGAAGACGAAGGTATCGACCTTACCCAGCACAGACATGAAGATAAACGTGGAGGAGATTTGAACTCTGAAAATGAACCAATTGGGCCTTATATGTATGAACTCTATGCCATCATGATACATTCTGGCAGTGCGTCAGGGGGACACTATTATGCATACATAAAAGACTTTAAAACTGATCAGTGGTTATGTTTTAATGATCAATCTGTGTCAGTGGTAAGTGTAATATTAACCTAAAATTGTTAACTTCTATGATTTGGCTACAGTTTTCAACAAATATTCTATTGTATGTATCTTTGTTTTCCAAAACATTAGATCACAATGGACGATATCGAAAGAAGTTTTGGTGGTGGTCCTGTACGAGGATATTATTCAGGCCAATACACGTCTAGTACTAATGCATATATGCTCATGTACCGACAAATTGATCACAGAAGAAATAAAAATGCAATGACTCAAGAAGAATTCCCCCCTCATTTAAAAGAACTTCATAATTTACTTGAGAGAAAAGCTGAAGAAGACAGACAGATGAGAGAAAGAGAACGAGACATGTATAAAGTGCCTGTCCACTTAGCTGATTTTATGGAATGCGGTGTACGTAGTTGTCAATTTGATTGTAGTGGAACCACTACTGTTGAACAATTAAAGGCTATGGCTATTGAGGTAACAATTTGATTAACTGGTGTATGTTAATGGATAATTAATATGTACAAACTATAAGTGGAAGATTTTTAATTCTAGTATTTTAGAGTCACCAAACCGTGTCGGTTAGTTATTTTCAATAAACAGGATCAAAAAGTTCTTGAAAACTTGGAAGATAAGAGCAATTATTTAGTATGTCACTTGAAATATTCTTTGACATTTGTATTGTTACTTCAAATGATTGACACTGAAGACAATAAAAGTGTTGTATCTACTCCAGGGTGTAAGAAAAACTATTTGGATTTAAAATAATAATAATACTGTATAATATTACGTCATGTACTAATATGTAGTTCCTTGATCAGATGTTTTAATGAAATTGTTCATGATAAACTTGGATGACAATGAAGAAGATATTGATGTAAGTCAGCCTGTGGAAATTGAAATTGAACAAAACAATGAGATAAAAGACCTCAGGAATCTGCTTTACACAAAATACGATATTCCTAGGGAATCAGTGTTGCATTTCGCGATTCAGAGCAATTCGAAACCAACATTGCTCGAAGAAAGCGCACCGTGTTCATCTATCTACACTAATTTTGTATGTATTGTTAAAACATGATATTCATTAAGAGGACGCCACACCCGCATGTGTTGTCTCCGTCTTACAAACGCGTAACATACCAAATTTACACTTAGTGGTTCACGTTTTATGCAGTTATTTTAAAAATTAGAGTGAATTCAAACTGAATTATTGTAAAAAAACTTCTGACAAAACACAGATGACGTTCTAACCATCAAGTTTTATATAAGTCGATTCACTCTAATTTTTAAGCTAAAGGCATAAAACGTGAACTGCTGAGCTTAAATTTGGTATGTTGCGCGTTTGTAAGACGGAGACAACACATGTGCGTATGGTGTCCTCTTAAACAGTTGTGCTTGTGGTCCATTGAATTACTTCAATGTTTATTCAACAGGTTTTTGTGTTCATCGAACGTCATGCTATTGAACAATCGGCCTTGTCGCACAAGATGAAAAACATTATCACAAGATACGACAATACAATCCTATTACAATTTATCATGCCAACAAAAGATACAGGTATAGTGGTTTACTATTTTTTTAACTAAAATATTGTGATACAACTGATCAGTAATGTACTGATACATTTTTCACCAGAAAATGTGTAAGAATGTATAATTTCACTTCACAAATTTTAATTTAAAACTTTTTTTACAGACATTAAACTTGACTCTTGCTAAAATTATAAGTTTAATTGTCTACAATATACTATATTTTATATAGTTAGTATAATGATAGTTCCTAAGGGTATTGAGAATAAAAACACCATCATTATTAAACTATTATATAGTTTGTTATTCTATATTTATAAGTTTTTCAAAACCAATTTCCTGATTTTCAGAAACTTTACATAAATTAATGTCGTTATACAATAAAAACTCTGCAAATGGCTATAGTGAAGATGTGTCTATGCTACCATTAGAAAAACCAAATGCAGGTGTGTTGGAAGGTAAGCATTACCTAATTTTTCATTGCTACATTTTTAAATTGTATATCATAATCTTTTTTGTCTGGTTCAGTAGATTGTGACCAGTCAACTGAAGACAACAATTTGGTTGCCAATCCCGAGGACATGTGTGCTGTAGCTAGTGGTAGTGGAAGTGGTGATCAGAGCGAAGACAGCAGTATAACAGACAGTGAAAGGTAATGATTTTTTTGAGAGATTTGAACATTTCATTTTAAATTATTGTTTTATCCTTAGAACAATTAAAGGAGATGCCGTTGAAGATTATCATATGGATTCTCCTACTTTTGAGCATGACCCAATAAAGGTATATTGGCTTTTTTCTATAAATATTAGTATTATATGTATTATTTAAAAATATGTTCAGGTTTATGATCAAGGAAGATTGGACGAAAACTGGGATGGGACTGAAGACGATGATGATGATAACGAATTCCAGTTAAATGAAAAATATTTTTTCAAAACAACAAAGTTATTAGATAATAAAACATCTGAGGACAATGATGGTAAGACATATTTTGAGATGGAAATACAGCTCTGGATATTTTTGATTTTTCAATATTATATCTTGCCTATAATTTTAAGGTTTTACCAAGACTAGTCTTGTAATCTTGTAACCAATGTTACTCTTATTTAAGTAGGTAATCGCCTGTTTTTAAACATTTGCCTTAAATTTAAATTATGTATAAATGTATTTGTGTTTGAATGTAAAACTTAAAAAAATATTAAGTTTATGTGCTTATTTATCAAAATCATGTACTATAAAATAAAAATTTTACAGACAAATTGTACGCTTATGTTGATAAACGCATGACTGTCAAAGAACTCAAAACTCAATTAATACCATACATCAACATACCATCTGATTTTATTATTCTTAATCGATGCAAGTCAGACACAGAATTAGAAGAACTGGCATTACCTAGTAGTTCTTTAGAAGATTTGGCCTACTCAGACACAATTAAAATCACCATGGGTCAAGCATTACATGATGGTGAATATCGTGGTATCATTTATTGGATCGAACCACAAGAACAAACAACAAAGGTATAATTATTTATAGAAATACAACAAGTTTAACAGTTTTAAATACATTAATATATAATAAATTATTTAATTTTACTGCTTGTAGATTCATTTTAAGAAAATGTTTGATTGGATAATTACAATGGGAACCTCAGTCTTAGACACCAAAAAAGAATTATTGGTTAAATTGAATAAGACACAAAATATTGATATACCTTTAGACAGGTAAATAATTTGACAACTGTATGAGATTTTTTGTTAACTGTAATGGTGTGATATATATTGAAGGTGTCGTTTACGTAAGAAAAAAAAGGACTCTCTGATGCGATGTTATTTCAATGAAGAAATCTGGAATGAAGATATCGGTCAGGGGTGGGAGATGGTCATATTGGACCTAAAAGATCGTTCCGAATTAGAATTAAATAAAACCAAACGACTAATGTTTGTCAATCATGTAGAAGAAGCACTTCCTGGACGCTGTATAACTGAAATGGAGTTTGTTGTTGATATAGCATCCTCAACATCTGCTAACACACAACTGGCCACTGAAGTGAGTATTCTTAGAAACTTGATTTTTAAACATGTGATTATTTTATATTATTATATAAATTATTGTCGTTTAGATTTCCAATAAGCTTAATATACCTGAAGATCAGTTAGAAATTGGTTATAAACATGGACACTCAACTGAAATTGCTTGGAAATCCAGTGTGTTCAATTGGTCATTTAGTTTGTCTGATGACAACATAATTTTATACTGTCGGTAAGTAAATATGATTCTATCAAAAAAAATTAAACTTATTATATTTCATAAAAATACTTTTTCTCTCTTATTTATATAAATGTCTTACTAAAATAATACATTCTTTAAAAACAGTAATGCTGCTGATAACACATCCAACAAAGAAGCACCCAACAAATGGCGTAGGCAACGCAAAGAACGTTCATTAAGAATACACACTATGAATAATGATTAAACATATTATATTTTGTGTGATGTTTGGTAAATGTTTAATTTATTTATTACTGAAGGCGGTAAAATCAGTTTGAAATACTTGTTTTAATCCGTCTTTTTTTAAAAGAATTTAATTTTCTACAACCTAAAAAACTTCTTTAAAAATCTGTTAATTTTACAAAAAAAAATTAGATTCATTTTTATTGTTTGTGTACATTTGTTAACATTAAAAATACAAATTTCTGTTTCCTAGTTTAAATCTTTTATCTGTGATACAAAAGTTAATAAATAATATTAAATATAAATTTTGTAAAATGTTTAAAAAATAAATAATTTTTAAAAGTCTTAAAACTGAAAATATATTTTCTACAATATAAAAAAAAAGTAATACATATTATTATATATGTATGTATTTACAAATTTAATAAATATTTTATAAACCAACAAACTGTTGTATACAAAAATAAATTAATAAATGTGACTAGTAGCACTCGTCCGCTCGTACATAATATTATATATATTCTAAAGTCATACTTATAATAAACTAATTGCTAATTTATTGTTAAATATTAATACATATAAACAAATTTGTAAAAAAAAAAAATATATAAATATTACCTGAGCTATTTTTATTCTATTTGGTATCTACACTTCAATAATACAAGTGTAACCTTACTTGTTTAGCCTCAAAATTAGTGTCCAAAAGTCTAACAATAACAAAACAAACCAAACACAAATTGATTTAATAAAATATAAAATTTGCTGGTCATTTCTAAATGCCTAAAAATCATAAACATGTATTGCTCAGATCTTTGTTATATAAAATGTAACGTTTTATAAAAATTAGATTATTTTGTTAGCTGTTTTTTCCTTATTTTTGTATTATTTATTATTTATTATTATTACTACTATTTTGTAATTAAAAGTGTTTAAAATAAGAACAATTTCATTGTTGTTATATTCATTAAAACTTTCAAGTATTTTAAATTGTACTTAAATATAAAAATGTGAAAAATGTATTACACATTTCTAGAACAAATGTTAAATGGTCACTGAAAAGTATAGCTTATTTTCAAACGGTTTGAGAAGAAAAAAGTAAAGAAAAACTCATAATATAAATATATACAAAAAAACAATTGTTTAGAATTTTTGATTTTTAAATCTAATAAAAAAAGGGTTCCTAATCGTTATTGTTATTGTTGTTCAACGATGTAATTTTACCACAAGCTGATTCCTCATGTTTGTACAAATACGACTTGAGTGCAAAAGCTTTGTTGCATTTCTGACAAACATGTGGTTTTTCTGTAGAATGCGTTTGTAGATGAGCTCGCAAGTTTGACTTATCCGCAAACGCTTTGCAACATTTTTCGCACTCGTAAGGTTTTTCACCTGAAAAATTAAAAAAGAAATGAACAGGCTATTACCACAAACTGTTGAGTCGATAGAAAAAAGTTGTGAAGCCGATTTTTCCATAGAAAAATAGCTGCTCAGAGTGGGTAGCAGAGTAAGTGTGCAAAATTTACTGCGGTTATACATTTATATACATTTTTTGTTACCGAAGGAACTGCAGAAATATATTAAAGGCCACGGTTCAATGTATTGAATGCAGTATTTACTAGTGCGGAGGACTGGAAGAGTGTTTGAAACATTTCTCTTTACAAATGTTTGCTTTGTCAACATGTCAACAGTATTTTAAATAGGTACAATAAATTATAATAAAATTTACTATTGTAAATTACTATTACTGGGGCCTCTTTCTCCACTATTAAATATTATGCATTTGTTGATATTATGTGAGATTTATCAGTATGCAGCTTACCTGTGTGGGTGCGGATGTGCCCTTGCAACAACCATGGCCTGGAGAAACATTTGCCGCAGATGCTACATTTACACGACTGGCTGTGTGTTCGCATGTGCATCGAAAAGGCGGGTATCGACACATAGACCTACATAGAAACAAACAAAATATAAAATCACGTTGAATCACATTGGCGACCATAATAATACCATCAAATATATGATAATAAGTTTATTTTAACATAACAAATTAGTCGAGAATTAAGATGTGTAGTTATAGTTAAACAGTGTAAGAGGTATCCTATTGTCCTGCAAGTGATTATATTAGAAATATAATGTAATTATACATTTATACATGCATGTCATGTATCATATTATATCAAATAAGTTTCAAATTGAAGATGGAAAACCCATAATATATAAATATAGGTTTTTTTATACCAACTAAGTAGGCATTTGAAAAACAGATACAATTTATAGTGAAAACTGAGATCTCTCAGAAATGAATAAAGGATATACAGGGTGGGCCACGAAAATAAGGCCAACCTGGCCAACAATATATACACATAAGTGCATAACTCTATTTTAGGCATTATTCCCGTGGCACACTGTATATTATATATTTTAATCAACGAATTTTTAGTGCATAATTATTAATTATCAAATATGTCCTAAACAAACTTGAAAATTAAGAAATTATATTATGTTCAATGAACTAAAAAATCACAAGATATGCAAAAATATGCACATTGAACTTTTAAAATTCTTTTCATGTTGTCTTGATATTAATTTCTAACTTTCTTACCAATTCATCTAAATAATCCAATACCCCCTCCCCCTCAAAAAAAAAATTCATAATACGGGACAACTTTTGAGCGATTTAAAATGATACATATCAGGGTAAGACCGTAGCCAGAAAAATATTTAGAAGGGGTTTTGAGTATAAATATGTTATATTATAAAATAAATATGAAAATATAAAAATATTATTTAAAAAATAATTAAATCTTATTTCAAAAAAAAAAAATTGGGGGGGTTGACCCCCCCCCCAAATTTAGCTACGACCTTGTATCAGGAGACAGTGGTGGCCAAACCACGGCTAGCCTTTTATCGTAAAACATTTTTCCTGACATAATAATAGGTATTATGTGAAGATAAAATTATCCCATGACCCATACACAATTTAATCTGCCATTACAGCAAGTTGTTCTATTGTTTCGATATCTACACATTTTATTATATATTTTGGTATCTTGAGAGGACGCTACACCAGCATGTGTTGTCTGTCTTACAAATGTACCACTCAGTCTGTAGTCCTAGTAGACATCAAAAGTGTATACAATAGAGAAGACAATATTTTCTGTGTCGTACCGTTTTTTTTTTGTTTTGATATCATTAATAGGAAAAAAGTTATAAATTTATAATACTTTTAAAAATCTGATATTTGTACGTTTCCCAAACTTAAATAACTTTTAAATATATTAGTCTTATCGAAAAAATTAATCGCTACTACACAGTCGAAATTCTCCTCTATTCGTGGTGAATATTTGATTTCTTAGTCTTAACTGTGGCCTTCTCGATTTTTTCCAGCGCGAAACAGGTTTTGCCATGTTTTACATTTGTAAGACTGAGACAAGACATGCGCGTGTAGCGTCCTCTTAATATCTTATTTACGATATTAATTTATTATATTGAGAACCTTTTTGTTCCTCAACTTTGCACTTACAAACTGTTCATTATATTGAGCGACTCTCACTTATCGCTAGGCACCCCCCTAAACCCCCGCAATATATTTATTTATATGCCATATGCGTATCGTGAAATATGAATTAAATATTATTATTATTATGATCTCACCTTGTCGCAGTGGGGACAGTGTCTGGCTTTGGTGTCTGCCAGCGACCTGTGCGTCTGCCGATGCCGGGCCAAGTTGCTGGACGTGCTGTAAGATTTCCCGCAATCCGGGCATTGACGTTCCTTGCTGTTGGTCGTCTTCTTCGACGTCTGTTCCGTAATTATTGTGTCGCCATTGTCGTCGTTATCGTTTTTCTATAATTACATAAGACCCAATTGTATGACGGTAAAAACTTTTTCGGAAAACGTTAAGACAAGTGCTCAAAAACATTGGTCAACCCCAAGTTCTAGGTCCCGCACAACTAAATAACCTGTATTTTTTTCGGGGGGGGGGGCTAAGCCCTCTGTGATTCGCGCCTATGACCCACATAAATAGTAAGTAAGTACCGAATGATTAGTTTAGTTTGAAACTTAAAGCGCAACAATGGCATAATTGATTTTAAAAAAAGCTGTACCTGTTCGATATTTAAAAAAGATGGTTTCGAATAAAAGTAGCTGTACAGTTCACCAGAGCATTCGAATTGTCAAAAAAGTCAACAATAAAACAAGAGAGTTTAATGTCATGGGTTATAATAAAATTAATTAATGAATTCGTGAATGGTAGTTATTTATTTTATGCACTAGATATTTATATATGGCGTACACAGATATTTTCTATAGGAGGGGTAAAAAATACCAAGTAGATGTGTGTGGGAGGAGGGGGTCACCACAGCATTCAACTCAAATTAATAATACTATTATAAACTCATAATAAACTATGAAGGTACTCAAAATGGTTGCTATGCTGGTACAGTCTTAAGTACAAATACAAATGTTGCTTTAATTTTATTCTAATTTAACCAAATGATGGGGAGGGGCTTTGAGGGCTTTTTTTTCTCAAAAAATGTCAATTTCCCCCCCCCCCATAAAAGAAAATTTTTGTTTAAGCTTATTCAAATCAGTACATTAGGGATTCAACCCTCCCTCCAAATCTCAAACACTTTGCGCCTATGCAATATAGGTATTTTTTTTTTATCAATACTAATAACTGTTTGTGTTATAAATCTTTATCTAATAGTTGATATAATTTATTGCAAAATAAATGAAAACTACCAACCCGATAAAAAATATCTCCCGAGGAGATGGCAAAAGGTCAGCTATTTCAACCAAAATGTACCAAACTTTTGTCAATCATACTGATGGCCCTAGTGCCCCTAGTGATGCGATTAAGTTTTTGAAAAGTGATTTATATTTAGTATTATTTAGTCTGCTTAAGATCGATCATTCAGCAGTCGTCCTACTTTTTTTTATGTTCCTAAACTTCTCTAAATGTTATTCAAATGTCGATGGTACAAAATGAATTTAAATACCTATCCTAAAATGTAACTCGAATGATCTCAAGTAGGTATATTAACGGATTCAGATCATTTTACAGAAGTCTTATTGAGTTATCAGATCCATCGATAGGATCGACAAAAAGTATACACAAATGAGTATACATCGTTTACGGTTCACGCGCGCAACGTCAAGGCGGTGACTTGTTCGTACGCGTTAGGACTTAGGAGCGCTCTGCTCACACACTTGATGATCACACACCACGCACACAATTAAAAGTCCCACGTGCGTGCAATCTGAGAATAGTTTTGATTTAAACCCATCACACAATGTTCAAAAGGATGAAACCTACTACCTAATTGACCATTAGGATTTTTTTTTTACTTTAAAGAGGACCAAGGTAATATAATATGTAATATACCAAGGTGTACAGAAAATAAATACAATTATGATAAGTAAAAAATGTACTCGTTATTTTATGACCATTAGTAACTACCGAGGTAATTATACCAACTAGTAATACGGTTTTATGCTCACAATGCTAAATGACACGCGACCCTTTTTAGATATGGCGTGCACGAAATACGAATAAAGGCGTGCGTGGCTCTTACCTTTATGACCTTTTCGTAGGCACTCGGCCCGTCGATGATCGTGGCCGTGTGGTGTCTGAAGTAGACGATGCTGACCTCGGCCAACTGCGTCAGGTTATACAGCTCGTCCCCGACCGACGACTGCTGAGCGTCGACGATGTGTTCGTAGGAGTGTGGCATTTCTGTGGGGGAAAAAAAGGCGAGTGTTCCATTATCATTAGCCGACCACGAAAACATTATTATTGTAAGACACACGACGAATGCGATCGATAAAAAAAAATAACAAATAACAATATTATTATAACACCGAACAGGGACACGGCGGGAGCAACGAAACAACCAAAGTGACGAACGGCATTGAACCAGTAGCGCGACGGTGGCGGCGAAGATCCCTCCGCTCTGCTGCCGAAAGCCGACTAGCCGAGTGGCGAGTGCCGATATTACTGTTGTTGCTGAATACCAGTGCACCAGTCCTATGCAATCTCGAATGCTTGATAACTGATGTTGTACGATAATATTTTGAACGATATTATTATTAATCTCGCTATCGACAATTAAAAATAACGCGACATTTTAGACTTTAGTATAATAATAACAATTACCGCGATACGACGATACGCTCAGAGGTTTTTATCTTTACCGTTTGGCGTTTGCCGTTGAGTAATGAACAATAATATTATATGTATTATTAAATAACACTAATAATAATATTATTCGTTTATTAAAGGAACGTACTGCGATTGAATTGATAAATCCCCTATTTTATTGGCTATTTTGTTTGCAGACCGTAAGTTTTAATAAATAATAACAATAATAATATTAAATATTGATAATATTCCTTCCTTCGACGACGGCTCCCTCATTCACCGACCACCCAGCAGTAGGTACTCGGAAACAGCGATGACAATAATAGATATTGTGTTATCTGTATAAAATTGTACATTTGTACCCGTGTTCTGTGTAATACACTAATACATACATCATAGACCATAGTATAAATAATTGTACAAAAGTGTTTATTTTTAGATCGTTGGGAGTTTGGGACGTGGACGACAGAGTATTGTTATGATCGATAACAAGTAACAACAGTGTCCAAGTGAAAAGTTGCTAGACACAAACAATATCAATAAAAATTTAATTTAATATGTTTTCGAATTACCAACAGGCATAGTCACAAAGATCTATAAACTAAGGCCGGTGTCACACTTGCGGAATATCAGCAGCGGACGTTCCGCGGCGGAATTTCCACAATATCGGAATTCATATATTTAAATACTACTGGTCACATTACAGCGGAATTTCCGCACGGAAAAAAAAACCGCTACACGACGCGATTATTCCGCGGGATTTATTTCCTCGGCGGATACCAAAATAAATCATAACATGTTATTTTGGGTTACACATGTCATATTTGTAGCGGAAATTCTTGGCGGAATCGTAATATTTTATTTTATTCATCATTATTTGATAATCAAATTTTGATTATTGATTCTTCAACGAACATCATGTTAGGCGTTGAATTATTAAAATCTGAAGTGCAGTCAAATCCATGTTTATGGGATATGAGTGACAAGGAATATAGTAATCGGGAAGTAAAAAAAAAAACATGGTATCAAATAGCCAAAAATATATTTTCCAATTGGGAAGATATACAGATCGGTGAACAAAAAGAAAAACGTAAGTAAATAATTTTAATTTTAAATATATGGAATATACTATTTATGAACATAGAATAAGTACCTAATTTATAAGTCAAATTTTTAACATCATACTACATGGCTCTACTCTAAATAATAATATATAACAATAACTTTTAACTATAAATATTATTATAATGATATGATATTATTAAATTATTTATTGTATTAACTTGTAATTAGTATTATGCTTCCCGATTTAAAAATAATTAAATCCTGTTATTTTGCCACGGAACACTTCCAACTTCACTTAAGAAGTACTGGGCGAATTGGTCTCTAAATTGTTGTCCAACTAAACTTCTAGATGCAGTTCCTCGTGGTTCAATAGCTAACATGTTATCACAGTTCAAAGTATCTTCAAACGCAAATCCGTCTCTCCGTCGTATATAATTATGGAGAACTGTAGCTGCTTGAACTATAATACTTAGGTAATCAGGCCCTACTGCAATGCACCCATTAAAAAATTCAAATATTCTACATAGGATTCCAAAAGCGCACTCAACATTTCTTCTAGCTCTACAAAGTCTATAATTAAAAATTCGCTTGGAATAATTCAAATCTAATGGACATTGGACAGCGCTTACCAGTTCTCACACAACCTAGGCACAATCATGGAGACGAAATAGAAATAAATCACTGACGATTAAACTCATGACATTTTTAACAGTTACAGTTACTTTTAACAGTTTACTCGAAGTAATGTAATAAAATATTTTCGGGAATCCAAAATAATGGAATAAACGTTGAAAAAAGCTGACTTCCTAAAAGCAGTCGCTCATAACATAAGAAAGCGCTGTAATGTGTAATGACTTGGTAATATTATAATCACATTTAATTTTAATTTACATACAATTGTTAGCATTATTTTAAATGTTTTTTTGGTATGCATGGTACATGGATACTGGGTAACGAGGTTGCTGATAATTTGGCCAAATCCACCCCTAATCTAATCTGACTTCATCCCTTCTTTAAGACGTTATATATCTCCATACAACACCCAATATCATCATAAGAAAATCTTGGTTTAATAACCTAAACCTACAAAGACAACACATAGTCCAATTTACGTGTTAAGATTACGTATTATAATTTATAGGTCATCACTTACTAGTTACTAGTTTACTACCTATTTCACAGTAAATATAAAAACACACATCATTGTAAGAATCTAAAACAAATAAGTACACCTACCTACAAATAATAATTTAAAATAATGATGTGAAAATGCTAAGAAAATCATCAATATGAAACCATTTAAAACTCACGAGTGTCGTATTCACTAGACATTTTTTTATTGGGTTTAAACTAAAAGCCATCGCAAATCATTGTAGTATTAATATTTTTTTACACAAAAGTATATAGTATTTTAAATGGTATTATACAATACCACGGTACTTAGATATATTTCGGTACTGTACGCAGTATACCGTCCAGTAAATATTTTAACTATCACCGAAAAAACCGTCAGCCCTAATGTAAATATAATAGTACACAGTATATTATAGCCAATCAAGAGTGGTCAACTTCTTTGTTAACATTTAAGAATAACTGCAATCTACCACTTTTCGGGACGTATGGGATGAGGAGTGCATTAAAAAAAATAAGAAAAACGTTTTACGTCAAATATGTACCGATCTTATTATAATAATTGGATAAACAATAAACCTTTTCAATTAACTTTAAAATCAAAGACGACAGACTCAACAGTCAACGATACGATGAAAGTAACCCGTTATAAGTCATATAGGTATTTTGAAATCAGTTTTAAAATTAATATTTTATTTTTCAGAACATCGGTATAAAATAAAACGTGCAACTTAAAATATTATTTAATATATGGGCCCGACGCAAACATAAAATAAAACGATCATATTCTAGCTGCTAGAATCTAGCACGTGCTAGTGTGCCATCACGTGTATGTTGGACATCCGTGTCCTGTGATTTATAATTTATAAAGCTGACATTATATGGCATTAAGCATAGTTTAAGTAATCATAAATACACGATAAAATATTCAAATGTGCTTTGCGCTATATAAATAATGTGATGGACAATAAAGGTCCACTTCATCGGTTGAGTTGTGATTCGCAAAAAAAGCTATAAAAAAAATCCCAAAATATGTGCGTACTATCTCAAACAACTATAGGAACAAATTTATGTTTTAATTAATTTGTATATATTACCGGTAGAAACTTTTAACTTTTCAACAGTTACACAAGAGCAGACAGACCACTAACATTTTCGAAATCGTCATTCGTCAGTATAGAATATAGATAAGTCATGGCCCGTGGGGGTCAGTAAAGAATAGTACGCCAATTTATCGGCCACTTTCTCTTTAGATAAATAAAAAAAATTACTTTGTATTATATCAATACAGATGAAAAATAAAACTATAAAAATTAATTCAAAGTTCAAACAGTTATATACTTATATGCCTCTATATATATATACTTAATTTGAACTCTACTAATTGTAAACTCAAGAATTGCATCAAGTATTGAAATCTGTAAAAAAAAATACAGAAAAAATGATTTGTAATCAAAATGGTTGTTTCAACTTTCAAGTTGAGTTAAAATTTTAAAACTACCTATAAAAATAAGTATTTTAACGTTAATTTTTCATACAAATTTACAATAGAATACACATCAGATTTTTAAATTTGAAAACATTTGATAATTTAGATAATTACACTTAGTAGGGTTATTTAACACATAGTTTCTTATTCTAGAAATTCTTTTAGTTTACATAAGACGAGAGAAGTGATAATGAAGACAATTATTTTCTTTTAGAACTGTTTAAAAACTGATAATGCAGATGGGCCTTTCGAAAAAAAAACTCCAGGTGTCTTTTATCGTTGAATGTGCTGCTTGGCAAGCCGACACTACCTGTGTAAGTGTACTAAAATAAGAAGCCGATTGGTTTCCAAATCGTTGACCTTATCGGTGGAAACTCGCGATATTATACCGTCCACAAATACTTCGTGATGTAGGTACACAATGTCGCTGCATATACAGACGCGAGTTAATGTAATATATACGTACAGAGGGATCTGTTTCATACACATAGCAAAACATTTGCGGAAAACCAACAAGTAATTATTATTTTTTACGGTAGAAATAATTTATTGAAGGAGACAAATAGTAGACCTAAAATAAGAAGTTGTAAGAAGATACAGTGACCGCGCCCGAAACCGAATGGTCACGCAGCAGTAGGGAATTCCGAGTTTTTATTTTGACTTGGAATTTCAAATTTGTAGAACTTCTCTTTCGGCCATCATTATTAATGGGCGGGTGGGTAACATCACGCACGCAGGATCACCCTGTATACTTTGCGATGCGCCGTGTCGCTGAATATATATATATATATATGTATAATAATATTATATATTATTATACGACCGTCGCACGTGGAAGACGTGGAACACTGATATATATACATTATATACCTACGCTTCGTGTGAGTATATATAAATATACTATATACCC